TAATATTAATGTAGCTCAAAATCAATATTTTTCTCTTTTTATCTAGCCCACAGGTGTGTGTGTGTGTGTATGTATACCTTTAACAACTTTGAAATTCTGGAATGTTGGTCAACAGACAATAGGATGTCAAGGATGTTATGTCTAAACATGAGCCACTGATCTAACCAATTGAACTTCCAATGTTTTCCAATGTTTTTCTTTCAGTTCATAGCCCAGCTCATCCTCCCAAAGTTTTTAAGGGTTTTCAAGAGAACAGATTGTGTTAAGCATAAAATATTGTTGGAAGTCCTGATTGCCAACTACTTAACATTGGCATGTGTCATAAAAATATACTTAATTTTATATTTGACAACAGACTATTTGAAATGCATCTGTCAGCAATTGGTATATTTCTGTGCATTTTGACAACTGTACTTGAGGCTTGCTAAAATCAGTTGTGAAGGTGTGTCAAAAGAAGCACTTGAGTGTAGGAACAATTTTAACATTTTGCTATATATATTTAATTTCAGTGGCATCAGTTTATAATCAAAAAATAAACTTGGCATTATGATTTGGGGTTGAATAATCAGTATTGCAAGGTGAGAATTTAAAGTGTTGCCCTTGTTGCTTTTTGTTGTCATCCTCAACAAGTTCCTGCTACTTTAGTGTTGTGTTGCCTACTCAGGAAGTTTTCTTTTCAACCTGAATCACACCTATTTGGTCACAGAATGACCACTGTAGCCAAATCCAGTTCCAGGAAGCACTGTCCCCATTATTACCTAACCTTATTTACCGGTTTGTTTGCTTAGAGTTTATATCCCACCTTTCCATCAAAAATAGTGTCAATCAAATTCACCCCGATTATGTTGCTATTTGATATCTCGTTTCTCATGTCATTTCTGGCTGGTTGAGGCCAACCACCTGGCTTATCCACATGACAGAAGGAAACAAACACAGGAATTAGAAGAAAAATAAGCACTGACACAGCTAGTAGAGGAGAAAACATAACTTCAGATAATAATATATGAAAGGGTTTTTTGCCCTGTCACAGCATGGTTTTGATCTTGAAAACCAAAACAAACGAACAAACTGGATAAAGTCTTGATTTTAGCATAACTAATTATTAATTACATCTCAATACATTTTTAATCGAAACTCAGGGTATGTATTTCCAGAGAAATGAATTCACACAATCCTGCAACCTGCTGCTGCAATCCTCTATAATTTCTACAATTAGCTTCCTTTGTCCTGAATGGAACTTCTATCTCAGTTAAGCAACCATGGACATTTTTCAAGAAACTGAAAGAAATGAAACACTGATTTTGGGATTGAATGATTAGGATTATATGGGGCAATAGGAATAATGTAAACAAATGTAAGTAAGAGTTTGATGTATTTTTTTTTTTAAATCTGTATTTGTACCAAAGAAAGTTGGGAATCATTTTTTTTACTATCTTCCTTTCTTCTTTTTTTTTATAAACTCATCTTTTCTTGCTCATGGTAATGATTGTTTTGTTTTTTTCTAGATTGATGAGCAATTATTTAAACAGCTGGTTACTTCTTGGGAATAAGGCTTTGCCATCTGCTGGAATAAAAATCATATATTTTGCATACTTTTCGGGATGAAACATTCGTTTTGAGTGAGAGAAAAGTTTAGCAGAGAGTAATCTTCTCTCTCTCTCCAGGGTTTCTAGAAGGATTTTTTCCTGAGCCTTCTGAAAAGATTAGCTATTACCTTTCCAAGAACTAAACAGGAAAATTGAGGATTTTGGTAGGTTTTATAGCTATAACATTGGAAATATTTCTTTTTTCACCCAGAAAGAGCCTTATCCAGTGTTAATTCCAACTAATTATCTCTTTGGTCTACATTAAGTCTGAAATCTATATTAAATCATTTAAAAACTAATACAGTTAAATGCATACATTTAATTTAAAGATATATTGCATTGTGTGGGTCATAATCCTAAAATCTTTAGTGCTGTTCATCTTCCATTCATTTTTCCTTCCACCATCATTTTTCTCTTGTTTGTTTTTCTTTTTTTCCTTCAAAATATATTATCTGGCAACTGTATTTTTATGATTATGCAAACATTGTTTGTTTGGAGTTAGGCTGTATGAGTAAAGTGACTATGTATTTATATTATGTGTTTCTGGCTCCCAAGAATCATAAAACTATCCCAAAGAAAATTCCAGCACGATTCAACAAAATCAGGGTGTCCATCTGCTTCAGAATAAGGAAAGAAACAGAAAGAGAATTTAAAAAATGGTAGCCTGACTTTGTCATTAAACCCAAAGGGACAAAAAATAGAATAGAATAGAATAGAATAAAATAGAATAGAATAGAATAGAATAGAATAGAATAGAATAGAATAGAATAGAATAGGACAGGACAGAACAGAACAGAATAGAACAGAATTCTTTATTGGCCAAGTGTGATTGGAGACACAAGGAATTTGTCTTGGTGCAAATGCTTCAGTGTACATAAAAGAAAGGATACATTTGTCAAGAATCGTAAGGTACAACACTTAATAATAGTCATAGGGTACAATAAGCAATCTAATCATACTAATTAAAATAATCTAATGAAGCCACTTTCTAAAAGCTTACTCGAACAAAATCATATTGAAAATCTTTAAGAAAGCCAGAGAAGATGCCATGCATGAGTCTGGAGGCAGTCTATTCCACCACATTGAAGCTGTCACTGCTAAGAATTACTACTGTACAAGTATTCAAGATATCATATAAATTCAGTGCCCTCAGAATTGTGAACTTTAAAGAAAGACAGGAAAGGCATGGTGCTTGCTACCCGGAGGGTAGAAAAAGCAAGTTGAAAGATCCGAAGTCTCGCTATGGCAAAATAATGGGATGAAAGAAACATGTATTGTTAGTGTTTGGGGATAAACCCCCTAGCAGAGTGTGCAGCAGCAGT